TCAATAAATATTTGAAATAATAATTATTAATTTTAATTAATGGAATCAACTATTAATCAACTGAGTTAATATATAAACTAGTGGGGCGCATGGCATCGTGCCTTAAGGCAAATTGCTGGAACTTTTCGTACCAAATATTATTGTTTTTTTTAAAAACGATTAACATTTTTGAAAAAAATTTACTTCGAAAAAATTAGATTTTTGAGAAACTATAAATTTGACAAAAAATTACTTTTTTTTAAAAAAATCTCTAAAATATCTGATAATTTGATGTGCATATGACTAATGATTTTTGACCGCTAAATGGCATTTTTTTTACTTTTTTTATTAGATCTCCGAAACCGCTAGACCTGCCTTCTTGACGAATTCTTTATCTTGTCAATACAAGTAAAATGTTTTTTGAATTATTAAAATCGGACGCTCCGTTCTCTTAAAAACTGAGATATCATTTTCAATACTTTTTGCTTTGTATCTTTGGTACCGCTAGACCTGCCTTCGCCAAAAACTAATCAGCACGTCTCCTTATCAGTACAAATCGAATGTTTTTTGAATTATTTAAATCGGTTGATCGGTGTTCCCGAAATCGTCGACGAAAATTTGTATCCGCACACACACACATACACACACATACATCCATTTTTTCTAAGGTTTGCCAAAATGTTCAGAAACCTTTGAAACGTAAAGATATATTAAAATTTTCATTTTCGATTTTTTGCGATTACTATAACTTACCCTAAGGGTAGTTAAAAAATTGTGTTTTGTTTATAAATGAATTTATAAAGCTAAATGAAATTCAATATCAAGATGAACCCCCTACAATTCGTCTATATGATGTTCTACTACTAATTAAGCAATACCTTAATTTGTTGTAAATAATTTAGAGCAATTGGTTGGAATAATTAATACGAATTTCAGTCAATGCAATCAATTATTAGTAAATACATGTATTTTCTTGTATAGCGAAGAAACTGCGTTTACGACAGACTAGGTCTTTTGTCTGGGTATGTCGGGCTCAATACCGCCTGGGTATAATACCGAATAAAACCTCCGTGTGTTTGTGTATGTTTTATGTATGCATATACAACTGATAGCGGAAACATGGAAATTACATTTTAATATAGACATTCGCCATAATTAGTCAAGTACATGAATCAAGTGTTCAGATTGTTTTAAATTCCCAATCACGATTTAATAACAGGACGTCAAAGTGATTGCTTGCGAATTTTATATCTGTTATATGATGTACTGAAATCGATTTTTATTGCAGTCGGCTAAAGTTGTTTGCTCTTTGGAATGCTATTTATGTTTTTAGCTCGCCAGCCATTAAAACATCAGGCAGGTTGTAAAATCTGAGCGCGAGCAGAATCATTACCGACTCATAAAACGAACTTGAGATTTCATTACTCGTTGAAATTTTACGTCACCGTTTATGCTACATTAATCTAAGGCCATAATTCATCCTGGATTAATAGCGTATTTGACATGCTATTAAGTGAATAAATAGCATATCTGGACTTTTAAATAGGAAGATTTACAATCGTCTAGTCCATTGCCGTATTATTGAATGCTAATGTTTCTCTTTAATATGCGTTGTTAAAAGGTTAATGTATAGTATTTAATTATAATGATACGAATGTACGATTCGCAAGTCTTGCATAGAGCATAGTTGTTCTGTGTATTGACCTCGTATACATACCGTTATATCTGCATTATTATTTTATTTCCCACCGAAAGGTTTGTTTGTCGTAAATCTATAACTTTACTTAATTAATTCTAATGGAATTACCTCAATTATCGTTGTTTATTGCACGGCGCTAAACATGATGTGAAAAAGATCTAAGATAAGTGGTATCTTGCCTTCAGGCAATTTACATGAACCTCCTGATATCCGAAATTAATCGAGTTGATTAACAAGATCTGAAACCTTCAAAATTAATTTTTTTAACTGTTGATTACAAACTAGATCGACTGTTCTCAAAAAATATCAACACAGTTTCCAACTGAAAATTGACTGTTTTATCTCATTTTAGAAACATAGTTTTATTATATATGCATATAGGACAGTGAATTACATATTAGACAGGAATATATATCATAAAAAACAACAGATAATCAAGTAGATATAACTAGGCTGATCTTTGCTAGAATTCCCAACTTTTCAGATTCCCAACTCATATTTTTCAAAGCGTTTTTGATGATAACCACTGTTGATTGTAAAGAAAACGATTAGACTGATTATTACGCAAACCAATTCTGAGTTTTTTTAAATTGGCTTTAAAATATTCGAAATTGGTGCACCCGTTTTGAAGACAAATGATTTAGAATTCATTGAAAAATCGAGAAGACTTAAAATTATCTTACTGTTAAATTTTTAAATCTTCTTGCTCCTCCTTCGGAAATTTAAATATATTTATGTATTAATAACATATATAATGTATCGAAAAGTTAAATAATGTACGTACGATTTTTTAAGGCATAACAGATGTTTATTCATTTGTTGTTGATTTGGGTATACATATTATGATGAAGTAGATGATTTTTAATTGCTAATGTAATAATATTCTTTATGGATTAACGTAAAAAAATGTATTACTAGAGTTTGCTTTTTCTCATATATTCTATATATAATATGTATGTATGCAGACGTACATATATCTCATTATAGTTTCCATTAGTCTTATTTTAATTTTTGCTAGATGTGAGAAATGCTGGTTTACGAGATGTCTGATTAATTCCAGCTATATATAGTCTAAGAGCCAGTGAACTATTTGACTAACCTGTTTTCACAAAGCCAGAAATTTTTTTAATGATATTTTATTATCGGCCCATTAAGAAAATACCATTCTGGCAGTCATTCCGCGGTTGCGTCATCATCCCTTCAATTTGTGAAAATGTAAAAAAAAACTGTTTTTATAACTTGCTCGCACAAGGCTCAAATTTTGAGAGTGTCTTCTTTTAACTGTTCAGAAAGCATATGTAAAAAGCCAGCCCATTCTGACGGTTGCAAGGGTCTGCCAGACGAGTACATAATAGTCACGACGCGCAAGGGTGTGGGCGCATTGCCATACATGATCGACTAATACCCTTGTATTTGAATAATTAATACGTCATTTTAAAGGTCATTTTGAAAACATCCGTTATACCAAACTTCAACTTTGTATCTCACCTTATGGCCGAGATATCATTGAAAATATGCCAAAGTGGCCCCTTTTTCAAACTCAATTTTTGGCGTAACCATAAAAGATATCGAAAAAAAAATTACATGATTCTACTCATATTGGCTTAAATCACATAATGTATAGTAATATATGCTAAATAATCCTTTATTATTAGCTAAAAAGGATAAAATAATTTTTCAATTAATGTTTTCGGATAGTGTGTTTTGTTTAATTACTTTATTATTAGTGTTATTTAAAAGCTTATTGTTTTCTCTTTTAGTACTGCAAATATGGTTTAAATCAAATTTGTGGAACACATTGAAAAATTGAAGAAACCAGAACCAGTACACCCGCGCGTAACGCTAATAGTGGCCCGCATAGAATTCGTTCGGTCGGATGTGCGATGCGTTACGCGCGGGTGTACTGGTTCTGGTTTCTTCAATTTTTCAATGTGTTCCACAAATTTGATTTAAACCATATTTGCAGTACTAAAAGAGAAAACAATAAGCTTTTAAATAACACTAATAATAAAGTAATTAAACAAAACACACTATCCGAAAACATTAATTGAAAAATTATTTTATCCTTTTTAGCTAATAATAAAGGATTATTTAGCATATATTACTATACATTATGTGATTTAAGCCAATATGAGTAGAAGCACGTAATTTTTTTTCGATATCTTTTATGGTTACGCCAAAAATTGAGTTTGAAAAAGGGGCCACTTTGGCATATTTTCAATGATATCTCGGCCATAAGGTGAGATACAAAGTTGAAGTTTGGTATAACGGATGTTTTCAAAATGACCTTTAAAATGGCGTATTAATTATTCAAATACAAGGGTATTAGTCGATCATGTATGGCAATGCGCCCACACCCTTGCGCGTCGTGACTATTATGTACTCGTCTGGCAGACCCTTGCAACCGTCAGAATGGGCTGGCTTTTTACATATGCTTTCTGAACAGTTAAAAGAAGACACCCTCAAAATTTGAGCCTTGTGCGAGCAAGTTATAAAAACAGTTTTTTTTACATTTTCACAAATTGAAGGGATGATGACGCAACCGCGGAATGACTGCCAGAATGGTATTTTCTTAATGGGCCGATAATAAAATATCATTAAAAAAATTTCTGGCTTTGTGAAAACAGGTTAGTCAAATAGTTCACTGGCTCTTAGACTAATACACAACTGATAAAAAATAGATTAAATTATCTTATAGAGTATTCCGACGCAAATTAAAGTGATTTTCTTTGATGCATCATAATTGCGGTTGCGTGATGCAATTGATAGCACGAATATAATTGCATGTGAGAGATATATTCCATGGGCAAGTAAAACTCACATATTATCGAGATAGATATAAAGGTGTCATTAACTTTTAATAAACTTTGCATTTTGATTAAACGCCTCTCATAATTGGCTTTTCTTTCATCAGCTTTTGTGTAATGTAATTAAAGTCGTAAAAACTCTTACAAAACAATAACTTTCTGTGTTATTTTATATCTCGGAACAATAAGAAAACTGGATTTTTCTGACTAGAGATTTATCATCGGGTGTAGTGTACGAGTACAGACATATAGTACATACGATGGATGTGTTGTATTGTTCATATTTTTCTTTCAAAATCAAAATATAATAATATAACGCTTTAACACCAAAGTTTATTGTTGAACTTTATTCTAAGCATATTTTCAACCGTTTTAATTGATACACATTCTCAACTAATAAATAGAACAAAATATATATTATTTTTCAAGTTTCGATTATCCACTTTTATTTACATGATGTAGTAAAATTTTTTGTAATGATTTAAAGTATTAACCAATACTTTTCTTTCCACTAGGGATCCGATGGCGGTGGTTCCATGTTTGCATCTGTTCCGACCCCCTCTCCAGTGGCCCCAGCGGCGATTGTGCCGGCGGCAGCAGCGATTAGCAACAAGACGCCTTCTGCTCCGGATCAATCGCAACCGCCTCCGCAACAACAACAACCGCAGCAGCCGCAGTTTACTAACAATGTTACGGTGGCCGTCACGCCGGCGCCGACAGTCACCGCACCTTCGCCTGCGCCCGCCGCTTTGCCGCCACCACCTTATCGAGTACCGTCGATGCAGGTAAGAAGAATTATTGAACTAATTGGGCTGATCGATTATAGATTAGCATTGATCGATTACTAGTTCTGCTGAAGTTGTCTATTTAACGAAGCGTATGTATCACTCATGTTTCTAAATTCAAATCTTATATTGTAGCAGATGACAGATCTGCGGCCGAGACATCAGTTCCCTACGCAACAGCAGCAGCAACAACAACAAATTAACATTAATGGAGCGCTTAGTACGCAGATGCCGCTACTAAATCATAGCGCTGCAGGTATGTTGCGGCCTGCCTGCCCAAAACCAAACACCAAATTACCTGTTTGTACACCGTCTGGTGGTCAGGCACCTCAACAGCAACACGTCCAGATGCAGCAGCAAACCTGCTCCCAACCACTCCAAAGCTCTCCTTCCCTTGCTGCGGTGGTGACGTCGCCTGCTTTACCTAATGGCATTATGCACACACCGGGTCCAATGTTGCCAAGTGCTTCCAGTCAGTTGCCAGGTAAAATTGAATTTAATTTGTGTTAGTATGACAATATTCTCGTATAACATTAATTTGATATTGTGTATTTGAAGGTTTACCAATAGCAGCGACACAGCCCGCATCTCTTCCCGTGACTTTGCAGCAGCCGCAAGTTGCGACGCCAGCCGCGCCACCGCCGCCGGCAAGACCGCCAGGACTTGACGGATCTGCCCAGCAACCTCGAACTAATAGCCCCGCCGTCGCCACTAGTGCTGTACCCGCAGCAGGTACATTATAAGATCAATGTCTTAATATTTGCAAGCTTCATATTTTTTCAATTTCGATTTATTTTTGCAGACGTTTATGTTTTTAATTTGTAATTAAACTTTAATAAATTTCAGGACCAACAGCCTATCCAGGATATCTGCACCCGCCGTTGTATGCACCATACGCGGCATCATTGCACAGTCCTTACCTTCCGGCGATACCTTCACCAGGAAAGTCTGCCGCGCCAGTCGCTCCTACGACCGTCGCACCTGCACCTAGTCCTATTCGGGAAAGAGACTGCTTTAGTAACAGGCAAGGATTTTTGAATAAATTTGCCTTCAATTCTCTTTTTCAGATCTAACTTATTATTTACGTTATTTAGATGTTAGTTTTTATACAGTTTTATAGGTGTATAATAACTTCATATTTTATTCAAATATTAAATATGTAACGAGTTTGCATTATATATTTAGGTCTGCGAGTACTACACCACTATCTTCTAATTATGGTCCAGGATCGATATCTGGACCACAAGGGCCTTCCCCTGCGTTGCCTTACAGTAAAGCAGCTTCACCAATTACTGCACCCGTTGCTGTTACCACTTCTAGTCATACTTTCAATAACAAACCTCTCTGGTCCACGTACGTATTTTTGTATATTTTTCTCAAATACTTATATCATAGTGTTGAAATAAGTTATAAATTTAATTTTGATTTTTAGTGTGAACAGTACGGGTCCTATGGTACACCACTTATCGCCAGTTCCGGTGCAGTCTTTAACGCGGCCAACGCCTCCGCCCCAACAGCAGCAGCAGACGCAACCGCAGCTTCAACCACAAATTGTTCCACCGCTCCTATCGCAGCAACCGCAATCGGCTTCACAGCCAATAGTACCTGCAGCAGCTGCAGTTCAAACGCAAGCTGTGGCTCCTCCCGGACCTCTGGCTATGCCTGCGATACCGCCGACAAGTGTTTCCACTGCGTCTGCCTACAGTTCACCAATGTTTATCGCACCATTGCCGCCGCCCGCTCCAGTGCCTTCCCAAGTGACGCCCGTACCGCCTGCAGTCTCGGTGGCCGCGCCACCGGTCACCACGCCTGTTTCTACGCCGACGGCGCCTCTGCCATTTTCAGCGGAATCACTTTTCCAGTCAAGCAAACGCACAAGGGACGATCCATTCCAGATACCATTAAGTGAGTATCATTTTCTATATTCGTTCAAATTATTATAATTTATTTTGATACTACGAAAATAGGTATGTGCTTTTTTTCCTTTGTGTACATATTTTAACTAAATGTTATATTTTCTAGATCAAGCAGATATGTTGCGAAGGGAATTAGACAATCGCTTTCTGGCTTCTCAAGATCGTGCTGGAATTGGTGGCGTTGTTGGAGCACCATATTTGCGAACAGAAATGCATCATCATCAACATCAGCATACACATGTTCATCAGCACCAACAAGCGCCACCCTCCATCTTTCCTCCTCCTTTGGTAAGAATTATCTAAACTTAATTAAAGAATATATTCGTAATATGAGTATTTTAGATTGACTGTTTGTCATAATATTACATTAGCAGATTCAGTGTTTGCCAAATTATTAGCTTTTAGATTGACTGTTTATAATTTTATTATAGTTTAAAGACATTCCGAAGCTAAGTGCAGTCGAGTCGCCGTTCTATCGTTCCAGTTTAGGAATGGGTGTTGGATCTTATCCCAGTTATAGTTCTGGATTACTTCATCCCGGACTTGGGGGTCCCACGCCTTTTGTACCCCCAAGTCATCTTCCTGCATTTACAACGAAGGTACAATATTCAATAACTCATAAACAAAATAATAAACAACAACAAAGGTTCAACTTTAATTCTTTTACATCATTATCTTTCTTGTACTTTTTACTGTCATTATTATTCACTAATGTTAAATAATTTGATAAAGAGTAAGAATCCTAAAACTTGAGTTGCCATTGAATTACTAAATAGTGTAATTTTTTTAATATACTGTAGCGAAAATTTTTATTTTTTTTTATTAAGAAGGTGAGAATTAATTAAAGATTCTAGAAGCAATATTTTAACATCATAATAATCAATACATATATCTGGAAATCTATGATATATTAAGCAGATTTTTAAATTATTTTCATCATATTTAATATCACGCACTTATTCATATGCATGCTATACTATAACAAATATTAACTTCATCAGCTGACTTATGAATGCTATATTAATTCATTCCACTTTTTCCTTAAATGTTTGTTAACGAATACCCTACATGCTCGTTCCATCAATGTGAATGCTTAATTTTTTTTAAAATATGCTATGCTTTGCTAGATATATTTTGTTTGTTCATAACACTTATTTTTTCCGCAGCATCCTTCCTCACATTTAAACCTGCCAGCAGATCCCTCAAAACCTAAACAAATGGTATGTTGATATATAATGTTATTGTGGAACTGTATAGCAATTAAATTAATAATTACTTTTATTGATAATTTTTTTCTTGTTGACATTAATCAACAATTTATAATGTATACTATATAATTTATAATATTAATCATTATTAAATATTTTAATGTAATATATATGCTATACAGTTCTTACATTAGAATGCATTTGAATTAAAACAAACACTTTTCAGTATAATATATCATTGTGATAACTGTTTTGAAATTTTAAATTTGTAATTTGTACTATTTAAAATGTGATAACTTTTTAAAATTTTAAAAGAAACCCAAATTTGCCATGCCTGAAGTAAGGGCAGAAAAGTTTGAAAGCTATTTTCCTGACCTGTTGCTGCCTCACGATGGTTCTAAATATTAATTCTTTGTTTAAGAATGTTATAAAATCATGTGCTTGACTACTAAAATACACTTTTGCTTCTCACAAAACCGAAGTTATACATTAATATTATAAGAGATTTTCATCAAACTTTATAAAAATATAAAGTTATCACTTAATTAATATACTAATGAAACAATGCAAATTAACCTTATGCTTAGCTTATGATTTGTTCACAATAAGCATGCTGATTAATCTGCTTCTCATCTCACTATTAGTGTATGTTGAGCATCGTCACATATAGCCTGTACCTTTTAAATATAAATTTAATTATTATTTATTATAATCAGTATTGAATAGATTTACATTGATTAAATATCTTCATACAGAAATCTGGAAAATGGAATGCAATGCATGTCCGCATAGCATGGGAGATCTATCACCACCAACAGAAAACACCAGTTGATGGAAGTAAAGTTGCTCCTAGTCTTACTCCTGGGACCATCAAAAGCGAACTGTTGCGACCACCTTCTCATCTATTTCCTCCTACGGCTTCTCCTGCAAACGGCCCGCCTCCACCACCTTCTGTGGCTGGTTTAGTGCGCCCCCATGACTTGCCATCAGTGACATATCCTGGTCGCAGTCCTTTTGATCAAGGACCTCCTACTTTATCCGGAGCGTATTTGGGGGCGCCCACATCACATTTAGGTAATATACTTGATATTTGTTAAAATATAATCGTACTATTATAGATTCAATTTAGTACATTGTTATTTAATCGTTATATTTTATTGCAGGTGCTGGAATATCACCTTTTAGTAGGTTTGGACCAACATTTGGTCCAAATCCAAATTCTCCATATGCTGGATTGTCACCGTTTGGACCAAGTAGAGAACTTTCTCAGCTCGGAGGCCCTCTTAATTCAGTTCATGACCCTTGGGGGAGGTAAGTGGATTCCTATGATTTTGATAATGAACCGATGGCATTGTTATCAATACTGTATTTGAATTCAATCATGCTATAGAATTATATCAGAATCATAATTGAGAATAAAATAAATATATTTGGAAATATTCAGTGCCACAAATTATATGTTAGAAACAACAAAATACTTGTAGAATTTAATGTTAGTTTTATTATTAATAGGTCCAATAAAAATATATTGCTTATCGAACATAAAATTCTTAAATAAATAGAATCAATGAAAATATTTTACTTATATAATGGATAATAATTAAAGAAAATATAAGAAAAAATATCTGATTTGTATCAAATATAACATTTGTATTGATGATAAATGCGAGATATTTTCTTGGACGCTATTAAATGTTTCCACAATGTATACTCATGAGCAGGCCTCACATTCGCAGCTCACTACCGAGGGTTATGCCGGGCTACCCGGCTCCACCCGCTGCAAGTCCATGGACTCTAAAACCAGATCCTGGTCTATTGGAACGACGGGAACAGGAAGAGCAGAGAGAGCGAGAGATTCGCGAGCGAGAAATTCGAGAACGTGAGCGATCAAGAAGAGAAAGGGAAGAGAGAGAAAGAAGAGAACGTGAAAGGGAAAGAGAACGAGAGAGAGAACGAGAAAGGGAAGAAAAGCAGCGAAAGGAGCAACAGGAACGTGAAAGGGAGAAGGAACGACGGGAGAAAGAAAGGAGAGACTTGGAAAGGAGAGAAGCGGAACGAGAGCGACTTATGCAGCAGCAGCACAGGCTTGCTGTCAGTTCAGACAAGATGGTGAGAGACCGGTCACCTTTAAGAAACGGTTTAACGGACGCATCTGGTGTAGCCGATGTCCGAATAAAAGACGAACCCCGTAAGGACGACGACCCAGTTCTTGCGGCTCGTTACCATCCACACGCCCACCCTCTGCCCGCGCATCATAATCATCCCGCATATTTATCGCAGCGGCTGATGACCGCACCGCCGCCGCCGCAGCCTACGCATCGGCTGCTCCCGCCGCCTCATCTTCCGCACCATTTTGCGCCTCCTTGGCCCGCGACTGATCCCTTCCGTGACCATTACCGAATAATGGACCCTCTGCAGCTGCGCTATAATCCTATAATGGAGGCCGCGTATCGGGCCGAACACGAAGCCAAGATGTACAGCGCGTACGCGGCCCAGGCGCATAATAGGGCCAAGGACCCGAGTCCTGTACCACCGCACAGCGCACATGCAGTGCATCGTCTGGTCCCTCCGTCGCTTGCGCACAAGAAGGAAGATGCGCAGCCGCCGCGATGACCGATGCCCCCCGATCATCAGATGTGATAATGGACTTTTTGATAACTGCCGAATATATATATGTAAATATTAGTTAAGCTCCGAAGTGTAAATGTTATTTATTTATTTTAGCTACGCCCAGAACGAGGTATGTGAGTCTCTTGAGTGATCATCCTTATTTTTTTCTAAGATCGATGACCGTATGATATTATAATTATTTGTAGAGAACAAAAATGCAATGTCAATTTTTAATATAAGACAAATATGGATAAGATTATTTCCATAGACTCCATAGATTGTATTTATATAATATAAATGATAAAAAGCATTGTAAAATATAATGTATTTTTTGTAAAAGGATTTTGTATATATTTTTTTTATTTAATATATCTATTAGGATGAATGTGTCAAACAAATCTTTTAACTGAAACTCGTGACTTATTCTGAAAGCAATTATCCAAAGATAAGATAAGCCAAAATAGAAAGCATTTATTGAAACCAGTGTTAATTCTTGTCAATACTTTCATGTGTAATTCTTGTAAGAAATGGGGATGATCTCTCTTTGTGTGCAGTGATTTGATTCTTGAATAGTCTGAGAGTGCTTTCAATGTCAGTACAATTAATAAATTTGTTGTTAACTGAAAATTAGGTCAAATGTAAATAAATTCATATAATTTTGATTGCTTTAAGAATAAGGGACTAATTAAGTAATTTGAAAATAGTATATGTGCTATATGACAAAATATTAAAAAAATCAATACTAATGCTAGATTTTATATTATAAATTCTAATGCAATCAAAGTTTCAGAATGCAAGCGAATTATAGTGATTGGTTTTCGGAGACCATATTTATAAATATCATTCTTGTATTTATATCAATAACAAATAAAACCTATTTGTAGAGAAAAATGAAAATATCTTTGTTTTAATTTTTATTCAAGTTAATTTCAATAGAACTCTGAGAATTATTTTGTACTTGTAGGTGGATGTTTTACTTTTTGCTCAGGACATGATTCAAAGTTACCTGAAAATTTATAATCATTATATAAATATATTATAAAATTCAAATATATTTTTTATTACCCAAAATTGTGCGAAGAGTATCAGGATGGGCATACATTGGCAATTCAGATCTATTTGTAAAAATAAAATCAAGCATTCCCTGTTCAACTTTTCGTTGATATTCAGAGCCAATATATTGTTTCAAAATTTGATATTGCTCTTGTTCTGATACCTAAGAAAAAATAATTGGAATATATTAACTTTATTTTATAATATATTTCTCATGTAATACCTTCTCATATTTATGTGTTTCAATGAAGTTAACAGTATCTTCTAGTATGGATTTTCCATGCTCCACCTATAATATATTTATATAATGATGAAAAGGAATGCAATATATAAAATATATTTTAAAAAGTGTGTTATAAATTAAAAAAATTTTAGTTTCATTAATGAAAAGAAATGCGATATATAATATATTTGAAAAGTAAGAAATGTAAAGAATTACAGTAAGCTTTTGAAGTATTTCCATATTTGCAGCATGTAAATTTTTGAATTGATCATGATACAATGCATAGGCCCAAGGTTCACGAAAGAATTCATAAAGATTTAATATCATAGCTCTATCAAATCTGAGTAACAGATTATTCAACAGACGTTCATGTTTGCCCCATATGCTGACTAAGTTGTCTACATCGATTTTCTAATAAAGAAAAAATAATTAGAAATTATAATAATATATAAATGCATTTATATAGATATATAGCATTAGATATATATAACTCAAACATTTCTTCTTTTAAGAAAATAATGTGTTTACATATTTTGTGAGGCAAGTCATATCTGCAACGATATTGTATTGATCCAAATGTAGACGAAAATATCCTTGGTCAGTATAATCAGATTGATCTCCTGTAACTAAACTCTGGCCCTAAAATATATTGCAAACTTTGATGCATGACCTTTTAAATTATATATGTGCAGTAACGTCTCTTACATATGTGTCCTGACTCATTTTCGCATCAAGTGGGACCACTTTTCCTGGTTTTGTCACTGAAAGATAATTCAGTGGTCCTGGAAGAATGCAGTATACTACTAAAGGTTCTTCGTAAATCGTCACAGTTAATTCCATCCCTGGAATCTTTGTTTCAGTGTTATTGAATGGAATACTTGGGTCGAGCATTCGGACCACACGTTGTGCCAGCTAAATAAACAAGGGTAAAGAATAATTTATAATAAAATGAATTATATCTATAATATAGTCACTCAATAGTGATTTTATGAAATTATTTGATTGAACTTGTAATAAGAAACTCAATTTGAAGTGCAAGTATTTGGCCAACTTAAATGCTTATGAAAAATTGTTCTTTAGGAACCCTGACAATTTAACACTAAACTAATAATTTAAATTATTTAAAATCGCATACATATTATTTATTAATATCATTATATATTTTCTTTAAATGTAAACAGTAATATTTCCTGTTTTGATTTTCGCGCTCGGATTATCAGGAATACCAACCGTATCACAAAAAGTATTGTTGTGATTTAATATTATCATAACTCATTTCGCCAGTGTCAAGCCGCCGCGTTACTTGTAGATTTTATATACTATAAATTAATAATTATGTGATGTCATAATATATTTAATAAACCGGGAAATTATATAGTGTGTAAAGTGTATGATCTAATAAATGGAAAGTGTTGTATTATAACAAAGTTTAAGAACTCAGTTGCTTTGTCAACAATTACAATGCAAAGTTAAGATCATATTTTTTGACAATTGTGAAATAAATAGAGAACGAACTAAGGTGTATACTGAACTAAATTACAATTTATAGTGAGTAGTTATATAATGACATTAGTGTTGTGTTGTGCAAATGTCATCAAGTTGATTTGGTGCTAAATTTTAATTGAGGCTATGAATTGGATTGAGTTGTCAATGTGCCGGGATTTGATCATTAATATTGTTAATCGTAAACAAACTAACCTACAAACTGAACTAAATTGCAAATTACAGTTAGTTATGTTATTTATATAGTTATTTTATAGTCGTGTTGTGTTTTGGACATGTCGTTCCATTGGATTGATGGATTGTTTGCAAATTATTTGAAGATTACTATCGGTGTGCCGGTAAGTGATATTTCATTATATGATGTTTTCAATATTATATATGTTATTGCTATTCGTCATATTATTTTTTGATATACATTTATACTTTATTATCTTCGGTATAAAATCTTCTTACATTAGCAAAAGATTTGTTCTTGCATTAGCTATGGTTTTGTTCTTAAGAGGTTTGGTTGATCGGGCGACTCATAGATGGCGCGAATGTGCTACATAACAAAAGCGCTTACGCTAAAGTTTAGCGCTGATGGGGATAAAATAAAACTGATTTGTCAGCTCGTCACTCTGGTTTCCCTTCAGAGCGAATAAATCTTTCGCCTTTTACTAAAGATTTCCGTGGAGGGGAGCACTCAAATGAGTATATAACACAATTTTTTGTGTGCCCGGCATTTATTTGCTGGGCCAATAATCAAACTAGACACTTACATATTATAGATATATGTATAACAATAGTAATAATACACATATTAATATAATATATCATTATTATGTTATGTAACATGATATTATATTACATAATACATTATGTATATAATATTAAATTATATATTACTAATAATAATTGTTTAATATGAACAAAACAGCACTCAGATTTGTGTAACACAACTTTATTTTATGATTACAGACGTTTCGAGACCATGGTGTGTCTCATCTTCAGTGTAATTTCAAAAACAGTTACTTATATACTACACATTCTTTAATAATTTATTTAAATTTCATTTAATTTTTGATATACAATAGTTTATATAAACATCATTAATAATTAATAAATTTTTTCATTTATCTTACTCTTTTCAATAAATTAATTTGTTTTTTCATTTTTATCGATTTTTTGTATGCGATAGCACTCCTTTTGTTTACATTCTGTCTCCATCTAGATAAGTACTTCAAATTTGTTTAGAATATTTCTGTAAGTGTTATATGTTTCTTTAGTACTGTGTCAAGCATTGCAAGGAATAGTTGGTGTTTTTTGTATATCAAAAATTAAATGAAATTTAAATAAATTATTAAAGAATGTGTAGTATATAAGTAACTGTTTTTGAAATTACACTGAAGATGAGACACACCATGGTCTCGAAACGTCTGTAATCATAAAATAAAGTTGTGTTAAACAAATCTGAGTGCTGTTTTGTTCATATTAAACAATTAATATTCGTTCCACTCATATCATAAAATTCTATATTACTAATAATGTTATATTATGTATTATAATACTACATCATAATTGAAAACCTGAAGAATATTTCTAATCGTCGAACAAAGAAATATAAATTCCATGATAACATATTATATATCATTATTATAATATTAATATTGTATTACATAATATATTATATATTACTCATATGTTCGACGTTCAAAAATATTCTTGAAGTGTTTATTTGCAGCCAAACAGTCGAAATTCAAAGCAATGAACAATTTAACAATTTATTATGTATGTTTTTACATTATATGTGTTAACAGATTCTGAAAAAATATTGTACAAATTTACAAAATTACTGGATGATATAACAAATTACAAATAACATTAATAAATACCAGAAAAAAACACAATATTTAATGAAAAGTACCAAAACTTTGAATAAAATAAAATAATGAACTAAAATTTAAATAATAAAATACCGTGATCATGTAACTAACTACATAATTTTATTTTTACCTTTTAGTTTATTATATTGTTCTATTTAAGGTTTTATGCTTTTCATTAAAAATTATGTTTGAATTTGTATTTTTCTGGTTTGATATGTAAAGATATTATTTAAATTTTGGTATATCTTCTAGTACCTAATTAGTAACTTTGTGAAATATTATTTAGAATTCGTTAACTTACATTGTTGAAATCATATATAATCAGTAGGTAAAATATTTATTGATTTTATTTCGACTTTTATTCGGATGTAAAAATAAATATTTCAAGAATATAATGTTATAATCGTTCATCAATATATTTTAGTGAACAGCGTTCCTAGCTGTTTGTTTATCTTGCAATTCAGCTCAATTTTAACCGTATTTTAGAAAATTTGTGGGACCCTTTGCTTCAACTTTTTTTTGACTCAAATTATTCGTGACAGAAACTGAAATAAGTAATTTTTT